ATATATATATATATATATATATATATATATATATATATATATATATATATATATATATATATATATATATATATATATATATATATATACATTTAAAAAAAAAATAGTTTTTAAGAAAATTGATTTTTAATTACTATAGATCTGATTCAGAAAAACACAAAAACTATTTTTCTTTTTTTTATAAAATTTGCCATTATAAAAAAATTTCCACCATTCTAGAAGCCACTCAAAAGATAAGTTCACTATATTGTTTACTTTGTGAATGGTTACTTTGTGAATAAAATATAACAATTTTAAATTTATACAGATCTATCCCAATATGTTCAACATTTTTTATGTTCAAAAGTTTTATGAGTAAACTAGTCACATTTTTTGAAAATTTTATTGCTTCTCAAAATCTTTAAATCAATTGGGAAATGCTACAGGGTGAATATCAGCACAATCAAATTTTTAAGTTTAAAGTATTTTTTAAGTAAGTATTTTTATTGTTAAGGTATATATTTTTGTAATATATTTGTTTTTTAAGCTTTTTCACTCATCACTCATAGAAAAATTATGAAAAGTGTAAAAAAAACAAAAAAACAACTTAGTTAAAAACGAAATTAAAAAGAAAATAAGGGAAAACAAGTTCCGGATTTTTTCCGGATACTTTATTCAAATAAATTTCAGGATTTTTATAATATGACTAGGATGATCTATGGTAATATTTTTAAACATAAATTGTATTAAAATCTTATTAATGCATTTGAAAAATTATAAAAAAATCCCATTTCAGTTTTTTTTTTTAAATGTTTATATATTTTTTTGCAATTTTTTTTGCTGTATATTTAGTAATTTTAGGTTGGTAAGTTTTTTTTTTAAAGATTGTTTCGATCTATTCAATTTTCTTTTTTTATTTCAGAATTTATAATAAAGATGGCCGTGATTTTTTGTATATCAAATTAAATCTTAAGTCTTAAGTTAACTAATAAACAATTCTCTTAAGAGATTGGCCCATTGATGCACACCAAAGCGTTATTAAAGAATAAATTTATACCTACATTCTTAGTCTTTGATACATTATCAATAATGTGAATTATATATAAAAGAATTTCAAATGCACTACCTTGTGGAACTCCTATATCTAATGTTGAATAAGTTAATTGTATATTTGTTGTATGATTTTAGTAATCCATATGTAATCCAGTACAACCTACCCTATGTCCTGCTGCTTTGTAGGATTTTTTTTTTGGCAAAGACTAGGAAAAGTTAAATCTGACTTAAAATACCCTTGATCAAGTTAATGCTAGAGATAGTGTCTAGATAAAATTAATCATCATCAGCTGATATTAAAAGCATCTGACTACTGTCTTGTATAAGGCCTTCAAGGCAAAGACTTAAGCAGTAAGCAGAAAAGTTTTATTTGCCATAATTGTATTTTTTTTTATTTCTTAGACTGCCCTAGATTTAAAACTGTAATAAATTATTTCTGGCTAAGGATGATTAATGTTGTATCTTTCTTAACTCTACTTGCTTTATCTTGTATGTTGTATCTTCTTGCTTTTGCCTCTTTCATAGTGGCTTTACAACTTTTTCTAAAAAATCTATTATCTAAAAATATTAAACATAAAAAACCAACACCACATCTAATTGCTTTAATCTTTTACAAATATTTATAGTCCTCAAAGTAACTTTTCATCAGTTGAATTTTACCATTTGTAAAATTCACCAAAATTAGTTGTTCTTATTAAAACTATTTTGAATTCAGCTGTTTCATATTTGGATCTCAGTGTTGATGGCTAGTATAAGTTTGGTTTGCGAAGACTCCAAAAGTTACATGCTTGGCGCAGGTATATATTTGGGTATCAATTCATTTGCTGTGAAACCAGGTTTGACTATTTTTTAATGTGATTTTGTTTAGCACCTCTTCATTTTACTTTCTTTATCTTTGTTCTCCTTTTACTCGAGACTGCACTCTTTTTGATGTTATTTCTGATTAAATTGACCCTTCTCCAATATTGCTTTTATTGTTGACTTCAATCCTCATCACTCTAAATGGCTTGGCTCTTATACAAATGGCTCTGCTGGCACTAGAGTTTGAAGCATAAAAAGTCTTTTTTTTTCAATCTCTCACTAGATGATTAACTTTATAACTCAATTTCTAGACAATCTTAATCACTTTCCATCTCCTTAATTTGTGTTTTGTCTTTTAACTAAAACCTGAGCTCAGCTTCTCCTTGCTCTCTTTTGGGTGGTTCAGACCATTCTATGATTTCTCACACTATTGTTCAGACCCTATCATCACACTGTTTACTATAGCTTTAAGGCTGACTAGGATTCCTTTTGTGAACCTAATTGTAGAATCCTTGGGCTGATGTCTTTTGTTTCTCCACTGATAATCAGACAAGCATGGGAGCTTTTATTCAACCTTATCAGTTTCTAGTCAAACTTCACTCTATCCACGGCTTCTTGTGTAACTGCTATTTTTAATTGTAATCATTTTTCCATCTTTTTTACAAAAATAACTATCTTTATAGTATTGCAAGAAATCAATAAAGAAAAATACTGTCGGATGCTAAACTCCATTAATCTCAGTTTACTAAGTCATATTTTTGTCTGATGCTAAGCTCCATTATTTTTAGTTTATGTACTGTATCTTATATTTTATCTCAGTTGTTAGATTCTAGAGACCTTTGGCAGGACTAACATTTCATCTTTAGTACACGGGTCTGCTCTTATTATCTTCCTAATAACACACCTTTTGATTTTAATAGCAACATTTGTCCTGCCATCCCAGAGAAACAGGTTAATTGATTGTTAAACATCAAAATCATTTTGGCTCTCATTGCTAAAAAATATTTTTGTTAAAATATTACTTTAAAAGTAATATTTTAACAAAAATGTTACTTTATTTTAAATTTAAAAAATCTAGAGAACACTCTGACTATTGTAAGCAAGGTCTTTGAATCTTTAATTAAAAAACTTCTTATATCTCATTTTAAGTCTAAGAACTTTCCCCCTCTGACAATCAATACAGATTTTCTCTCGTTCTACAGCTAACTTTTATTGCGCGTTTTGAGACTTTTATATCATTTCTTTTTAACTACAAAATTAAAGCTGTCCTTGTAGGGCAACACTTATCTCCGTTTAAAAACCTCTGAGGTACCAAAAAGTTACATCCTTGGTCCTGTATTATTTCTCTGTATTAACAATTTTCTTGACCATCTTACCTTTAAAGTGGGTTTTATTTGCTAACAACACAAACATATTCATCAGTCTTGAAAAAATGTCATGATATTTTGATCGTTTATAGTAGAAAGTTGATATTGAGTGTGATTTCAGCTTGGGGCTTGAAATAGCTTGGCTGGCAAATTTAAATCTAGAGAAAACCAAGTTGTTTACTGTTAATATTTATCACAGTATAGTGAATAAATAAAATGGCTAGCAACATTCTTACTGATTCCTTTATTTTATGTATTCTGGTTTTTGGTATCTGGTTATAAAAAATTGTTTCAGCTTTTTCATGTCATATTTAAATAAGTCAGTGGCATTATTAGTAAAACCTGTTGAAATCAGGTTTGAAGCTTTGGACCCTATACTTCAAAATAGATTGTAATAATTTATTAGTAAAATCTGTTGAAATCAGGTTTAGAGCTTTGTAATAATTTAGAGGTAAAACCTGTTGAAATCAGGTATAGAGCTTTGGACCTTAAACTCTAATAATTTAGTTGTAATAATTTAGTAGTAAAACCTATTGAAATTAGGTTTAGAGCTTTGGACCTTAAAATTTAAAATAGGTTGTAATAATTTAGTAGTAATAAAGTTTTTTATGCTATAGTATTACAATAATGTTATTTTAAAATAAAGCATGTTAATCATTCAAATCGAATCATTGTAATACTGCAAATTTAACAAATGTAAATTTGTAAATGCAACATGTTAAACTGTAAATGTATTATCTTTTATCTATCCAAGATATTCACATAAAATTTATTTTATTAATAAACAATCTAGTAGATAGCAACATATGTACTATTTTTTAAAATTTTAAAAATGTTTTCACACTTGTGTGGTTTGGTTAACTTTCATGAAGATATGTTCTTATTTAAATGACACTACAAGAAAGAATTAAATTAATTTTTTACAACCAGATGCTCTTTCTAAAATTAGTCTGTTTTGCAGATCAAAATTGAGTATATTTGTGGTACTAAAAATTGGAAAATTCATACTTTAAAAAGATTCAACCATCAAAGCTTCTCCTATTTTTTCCCTTAACTAAATTAAAGTATTTATAATTTTTCAATTTCCTAGTTAAGTTATCTTTAACATGACTATGGAGCCTCGCCTACCCTATATAAAGCAGTTTGTACTAGGTTTCATGTTACAAGTAGCAGGTTGACCTTTGGTTAACAATAAATTTTTTTTGCTTTATTCTGTTTCTGTAATACAATATAATAATATTGGTTAAACTGCATGAGTTTCTGTTAGGCTAAGTAACATGGCTTAAATTTTTCTATGTGTAGTCGTATTTGTACTTATTAGAATATTATTAGCAAATGTTTCTATATGTAGTTGTATTTGTATTTGTTAGAATATTATTAGCAAATGTTTTTATGTGTAGTTGTATTTGTACTTATTAAAATATTATTAGAAAAAGTTTTTATGTTTAGTTGTATTTGTACTTATTAGAATATTATTAGCAAATGTTTTTATTTGTAGTTGTATTTGTACTTATCAAAATATTATTAGAAAAAGTTTTTATGTTTAGTTGTATTTGAACTTATTAGAATATTATTGGCAAATGTTTCTATGTGTATTTGTATTGTATTTCTATTGTATTTGTACTTATTAGAATAAAGAAGCAAATGGCACTTTAATTTACTTTTAGTGTTTACTAGTTTCCATTATTCATTTTCAATTATTAATTTTTTTTTTTTTTGATTATTTTTTAAATAAATGGATACTAATTATTTCAATATTTTGCTTTTAAAGTTTTAATTTTTGTCATGACTAATTATAATTTAAATTATAGATATAACTATAAATGTCATCAGCTTCGAGTCAACCAATGGATGAAACATTCAGCCGTACATCCATAAAACTTCCTCCAATACCAACACTACCTAATAATGACAAGTTTGATAAAAGCATTTTGCTAAAATACAGAAGAGGAAAAGAAGTTGAATACATTTTGAAGGACAAAATGTTCGTTTAATTATTTTTAATAGTTTGTTGTATTCTATACTGTTCTAGTAATATGCTCTATTCTATACATTCTACTTCTAATGTCTTATTTAGTAGAACTAACAGTATTAGTAGTAATATTGGTGCACTTAAATGCTGATTCAAGTAGTGCAAAGCATGGTTAGGGTTATACAAATACATATTTGTATTTGGTAATAATATGTTGTTGTATTTGTGCTGTATTTTTTTTTTTAATTTTTTTATGTTTGTATTTTATAAATTCAAAGCAATTAGCAGAGTACCAAGACAATAAATATTTACTTTAAACTATGAAATATTCAGATCCACCTGAATAATGAAAGCAAAACCATAAAGATTTTGTAAATTAGTGAAAGAAATAAGTTAAAAATATTAATATTTATATTATTAAGAAAGTTAACATTAAAGTATTTGTATTTTAAATTTGTAATTAGAAGTTAAAGTATTTTTATTTGTATCAAACACTTTCACATTTTCTTCTCTGTTATAGTCTGATGTTTTAGGTTGAAATTGACAAGTATTGTGAGATGTATTGTTTATGAGTTTTCTTTTTTCAGTATTGCTAAAGCCATTAACTCAAAGTATTCAACAATGGATAACTTAAAAAGAATTCAAAAGTATGAAAAGAAACCTGAAATACCTCCTTTAGTAAGTATTTAGTGATAATGACAATGATGCTGCCTCTGTTGATGATGATGATTATGATGTGACGATGATGAGAATGATGATAATGATAAATGTAATTTTTTTTTTTTAATGTAAAATAGAGGATTTCAAGAGAAAGACAAATCAAGGTGAGAACTAGTTTTTTTAGTTCAAAATAATTAATAGACTACTTTTAATGTGCTAATATATTTGAATTTCTGTTACTTGTAGGCAAATTAACATGAGTATAAACAAAACAAATGTATAAAAAATTATATTTAAAATACCAGATTTAAAAGTATAAGTAATGCTGCAAAAAGTTAACTTTTTATTTTCTCAGTTATATGGGTAAACAAACTAATTATAATTTTAAACAGGTAGATTTATTAAAATAATCTGGATGTAAAAATCAGATTGATAATTAATCTGGATGAGTTAATCAGAATGATTATTATTTGGCTAAGAGTCATCTATAAAATTCAGAATTTTTTTAGAATCACATAGTTTTGGAAAAATACAAACATATTTCATCATAAAAGAGATGACAATCTAACATCTCTGGTACCCAGTTTGCTTTAGTAATTATCAGAGTTTTAGAATTGTGCTTTGAACTTTTACATATTTTTAAAATAAGGATTCTTAATAATATTTTTAGGTATGTGGTTTTCTAAGAGCAAAAATATATATCCTAAATAACATTATAAAATTATTTAACTACTGTATGTATAGTATTTTACTAAAATATTTGATTTATCTGATTTGTAAGGCATAGTTATTGCTTATTAAGTTGCTACCAAAAGTTAATCCAAACAAGAAGACTGAAATAATTGTTTATTTTAACTTCTGAAATCCAAATGATTTTGACCTCCTCAAAAAATTGGAAATACTTTTCAGTCATAAATGATTAAAAAGTTGTACCAATAAGAGAGTTGGATTTTTCATCTAGACTAAATTTTTCTTATTTCAATTTTTTTTATTCTCCTCTTTTTTGGCTCCTTAACTCTTTAATGAAAAATCTTAACCAGCCTTCACACTCTGACGTTGGAACTGAAAAATCTTAACCAGCCTTCACACTCTGATGTTGGAACTGAAAAATCTTAACCAGCCTTCACATCTGACGTTGGAACTGAAAAATCTTAACCAGCCTTCACACTCTGACGTTGGAACTGAAAAATCTTAACCAGCCTTCACACTCTGACGTTGGAACTGAATTTTATCCTATCTGCATCTATAAAATTATTAATTTTGATAGTTGTTAAAATCTGTTCACTTGTTTGCTAAGTAATCATTTAGTTTGTGTTTGATTGAATTAAAGTGAATATATTACATGATACATAATTATTAAGACATGGTAACAAAAAAAAAAATAAAAAAAAAATGCAACATTAAATACATGCATTAAATGCATAGCTCTTCATTTTTACAGTTTTTGTGCAACGTTCTTTTTCGCTATCATTTATTATTCTATTATTATTATGATTTTGGGTTTCGCGGGTTACTCATTTTCCTACACTTTTGATTGGTTATCATATTTCGAATGAGGTATCTATGACAGCGTTAGAGTTTATTTAAGGCTATTGTTTTGTTTATTAAAAAATTTTTTAATGAGGTATACTGCTTTCTGATTATCTTGGGCTTGTTTATGCTAATAATACCTATTTGGTTTTATTTCTTAAAATAGATTGATTAATATTTTTATGTTTCTATTAGAATTTTAATTTATTTTGTTTTCATGTTTTCTTTTGGTGGTGCGGTAAGTGTTTTTATTTAGTTATTTTTATTTTTGTTTGTTCAGTAAATCTATACTTTTTATATCATATCATCAAAAAAAATATTGGTGCTTTACAAATTTGGGGTTGGTTGGGTTTTGGCTAGTTGTAGTGAGTCCTTTTTTACTGCAGTATGGAATAGGCGTAAGTCGCGGGGTAAAGCATAAGTGGCAATGACGTTTGTCTGACGGGATAAACTAGTTATAAATGCTGATCCTCATCGAAACGCCAGTAATAATAGACGCGACTCTGAGGAGATGTTTATTACTTATCACTACACTAATTATGTTTACACATTAGCATTAATATTTTTTTTCCATTATTAGTCCTTTCATTGTTGTTAGCATATTTTTAATTTGTTGAATGGTTTTTTGTTTTACAAATTGTTGACTGGTTATGTATTTCTTGTATATTTTAGTTCATATTGGTATTTATAAAACAATTTTTTTATTTTTTATTTATATATATATATATATATATATATATATATTATATATTTTATTATTGTTTGTTTTTATTTTTTTTTAATTTTTATTTTTATTTTTTTATTTTTTTATTTTTTTTTTATTGTTATTATGGTTGAGTACTGTTTTGGTTGTATAGCTTGTCTTACTTATTTTTAAATATTCCTCTATTAATCTTTATTTTTGTCTTGACAACTGTCAAAATATGCTTTGTCTAATAAATAATTCTCCTTTATTCTAATGTACTTCATTTCTTCCCTCAGGCGTTCACTGCTCGTGTGTGACCATTCGGCGAATTTTATATGCCAAAGTTTTTAAATAAATATCATAAGTACCTCCTATATGAATTTTCTTTTATTAAACTTTTTAAAAATAAAACTACTTACTTTAGTTCTTATTCAATGTTATAAATATATATTTCATGTTTGTTTGTTTTTTAATTTAATAGATTAATTACCACTTTTTAAAAAAATGTGTGAGTAATGCACCAGTTGCTCCAATGCTGCATTCTTGGTGGGACTCGATTATGGATTTAGTACCAGGTCATCTTGTTCAGTCACACTTATTAGAATTTACAATCCACAGTTTGCATAATGAGGTTATTGAAGATTATATGAAGAGTATGAAAAAAGCTTCAGGTAAATTTGAATATATACTTTAATATTGTTGCAATCTTCTTTTAACCATATTAATTAGAGCAAAAAATTTTGAAATTAAGAGGTAACAAAAATTAAACTACTATTTTACAATTTTATTTCTAAGTGTATTACATAAGCTTGTGGACTGTTCACAAGTTTATGTGAATTATCTAAACTGTGTAGCAGTTATGAGGTTTTTAAATGAGTTATACTTGTTGTATAAAGTGTAAGTATGAGGTATTTTTGCACATAAATGCACAGATAAAACATGTTAAAATGCCTCTTTGTTTTTATTTTTGTAATTAGTCCAATATATATTGCGTAAACCAAATGTACTTGGATTGGAAGAAGATGAAGATCTGCAAGATGAACCCATGTAATGTTTACAATTGTTGTATAAATAAATTCATTTTCATTATAATAGTTTGTTTCAGTGTTTACTAAAATTGTTATTATAATTTATCAACTTCGAATAATTTTTTGTTTTACAGGATTAAGTAATAGATGTTATATACATAAAACTATATTAATGTTTAAACAGCATTTTTTATTTTAGTGGAATAGACTATTCATCAACCTGGCATTCATCATTTGTTTATGCGCAGGAGAAAATAAAGTGTAGCCTTCACTGTTTGCATCCTTCACATCAAGCTATACTGAAAATTTGTCAAAGTGATTTTTATTCAAAGTTTCTTTTAGTTGACATTTCCAATATAAGGTATAATACAAATTTTCATTTCATTACTTTATTTAAAAAAAAAAATTCTTTACTTCATATTTCATTTATATTACAATATAAAAATATTATATAAACATACACATGTATGATTGCTTGCGCATTATAAATTAAACTTTACCTAGCTTTAGGAATCTATTGAGATAATATAAAAAATAAATTTTGCTACAAACTAAATTTTTTTTGGAAGATATAGAAAATGCAGTTTTGAGAGTGTTTATCAAATAAAATGGCAAATTTGCATACAAATGCCATGTGGTGACAGTTTGTACATTTGATAGTTTTTAAGTGTTTTTATATGTATATTTTATTATTTTTATGATCGAATTCGAATTTACTTGGACTTTGCAAAGGCATTTGGTTCTGTATGCCATAAAAGATTACTGATAAAACTTAAATGTTATGGGATTTCTGGTACATTGTTAAAATGGATTGAAGCGTTATTAGTTATTATGGAAGAAAATGTCTCATCTTGGAAGAATATATTCAGTGGTGTGCTAAAGACCTCTTTTATTGGTCTATTTGTTATTTAAATTAATGATTTGCCTGATAACTTTCTAAATATTTAAAAGATTATGCTGATGATTCAAAAGTAGTATCAAGGGTTAGTTCTGTAACAAGTTTTAACCTTCTGCAAAATGACCTAAAAAAAACTGTTGACTGGGTCAATGAATGACTGTTAATGTTTAAATTTGATTAGTGTTTAATATGCACTTTGGAAAAAACAATCCAAAAAGAATTTATTTTATGCATAACATACTTTTAAGTTCCACTTTTGTTGAATATAGAAAGATTGTCTCTAATTTTTTTAATTTTCGAAAGTTGTGCTAAGTGGAGTCAAAGAACCATAAAACCAAACCTAAAATGTTTTTTTTCATTGTAAATGTGAGGAAATTAAAATTAACAAGCAGGAAAGAAAAATAAGAATTGAGTGAAATATTCTAAATTTATAAGTTTCATCAGAGTTATATATATTAGAGAATGAAATATACTCTAGATTTGATAAGTTTCATATGAGTTTTTATAATTTATAATTTTTTTATAATTTATAGTTTTAAATTTGACATAAAAAATAAAATAAAATACAAATACATAACTATTTTTTAACATCTAATATTTAATATATTATTTATCTGATATATTTGCTTATTTAATATACTTATTAAATATTTTATATAAATATTATTGTAATATCCCTATTAAAATGTTAAGGTGATAGAATATTGAAAAAGTAACGCAAATTTGCCATGCTGAATCAACTTATCTAGAAGAGGAAAACTCTGATATAAAACCCTCAAGTTCATTGTGAGTTTTATATCAGCGCATATCAACAGCAGGAGGTGCTTATAAACATAGGATAGTAGTTTTTCTAGTGGTAGTGCACATTAAAAACACACTGTTCTAATTTGAAAAACAAGTTAAAACTACGAAGCACATCTATTTAGTTTAACTCTTTCAAAATGGAAAAATAAAAATTAATTTTGTCAGATGAGCGTTTGAATTAATATAAAAATATACTTAATATCAAATATACACAAATAAATAAAAAAGTTAGTAAATAGCTTTATTTTATGATTTTATTGTTTTCTTTGAATTTTTATTTTTACATGTAAACAGAGCGAAAGGGGCCATAGAATGCAAGCACATGTTAAATACCGTAGTGTTAGAATGTCACAAATCAGAAGAAAAATTGTTACATAGGTATGTTTTAAACATATAGCTATATATAACAAAAGTTATTTATCATAGATATTTTGTTGAAAAAATGTAATATAACACTAATATAATAAAACATAATTATAAAGTTCTGTTTTTTTATTCCAACTATAAGTACTCATAAATAATGGATGTAAGTAATTATAAATAATCAAATTGTGTACACAAATAATATAGGTATGAATTTAGACATACCTATACAATTAATAAACACATAAATAAATTTTGCTAATAATTTTAGGTTTATAAATTAACAATAAGTAAATAGAAAATTTTAATTTTCAGTTGGTATCCTGAAATCATGAAAATTTTTGTTAAAAAAAGTGATTTTTGTCATTTGAATGAAGAACTTCTTGATTCATTTTATAACAGTGTAACAACACTTGTTTCAATACAG